CATAAAGCTCTCACTGCCACTGAGTCCACTCAAACTCACAGCATCCCTAGAGGACAGAGAAGAACCGCCCCCGTGGGCTCCCCAGACCGGAACATTTTTTGGGCTGAGAAAGCTTCATAGAGCTCCCTTGGCCCTGGTAGTTAGCAGCTCCTTAGATAGCCCGCTACGCCACCACGGCTCCTAACCCCAAGCATAGAGGCTAGCCGTTCATATCAGTATGGAAGAGTCGGGGTGTGTGCGTGTGTATACATATACATGTATGTATATATACATATACAGGGGCTTCAAAAAGTTTATGGAAAATAGAATTAATAGAATTTTTAATGTAAAATTTAAAAATTATTTTAATCTTAAAATTGTATAATTTAAAAATGGAATTTTGGGAGGAAACTTTTGAAGCTTCTTTTAGGTGATGCATATGAATAGATATACCGATACATAAATACTCTAATGCATTTTTGAGGCTTGGATAATGCTTTCAGACCACCGCCTGCCCTGGAAATTTGTTGTAGGCTGGTGGCCTGCATGTTGCCACGATGTTGTAAGTTACGCCCCAGGTCTCTCCAGTATCAGCAAATTCACTCATGATGGACATGTTCGATCACTCAAGATGGAAGCAGCAGAGCTTCCAGACTGAGGCAGACTAGGAAGAAGAAGGCCTAGTGGTCCACTTCCAAAAATTTGTGAATGAAAACCTTATGAATCACTACAGAACCGCACCTGACATTGCGTACGTTGGACATGTCATGCCGAGGAATGAAGTGGGGAGCCTCTGTGGTGAGGATGCTCTCAGAAGGGTTGGCACAATAGCTGAGACAATGGACTCCAATATGCTGGCGACTATGAGGGTGATGCAGAACCAGGCGACAGTTCTTTTCCTTGTTGGTAAAATTGTCATGAGTCACAGTTGATTCAGGGCAGCTGCCACACCTTCCAGTACTTATAGAGGCTGCCCCTGCTTGTCACTGCCTCTTTGATTAGTGTGGGTAAAGTGTTTTGTGACATTTCTAAAAACTAACAATAGCAGCTATTGTTTAGGGAGGATTTTACATCTGCCAGGTGCTCTGCCACCTTGTCTAAAGTCACGTACCCCTCAGAGTCCAGAGGCCCTCAGGTCTGTCACTGTGTGGCCTGCCTGTCTCCTTGGTCTCTCTATTTAATCAGAGCCAGGAAGACTGTTCAAGGCTCTGGGCCAGTGCTGTAATGACAGCCCCATCCCTCAGTGAGTGTCTTGATTATCTTGTGCTACTGTAACTGAAATACCACAACTGGATGGCTTTCAATAACAACTTTATTTTGTCATAATTTTGAAGGTTGAAATCTTAATTATTCCCCATCTTTTTTTTCCTCAATAGTATTATTGAGATATAAATTACCTATTATATGGCTCCATAGTTCCATCATATTTTAAAAAAGTGTTGTCTATGTATCACAACAATCAGTTCTAGTGCATCCACCCTCCTCCTATATTCCTTTGCTCCCTAATTACCTCGACCTGCCCCCCATCTCCAATAAACGATTACATCAGTTATTAGCTCTGTATATCCAACCCTTTTGTGCTTCATAAACTGGGAGACATACCCCCTGAGAGAGAGAGAACAGTGCATAGAAAGAAAGTGAAGACTACCGGCAATATTAAAATAAGCCAAAAATAAATCTCTGTTGAGAAACAAGCAAGAAATATTTAAACCTAGAACAAATCCAGGATGGATCGAGAGGGAGGTCAAATGACCAGGTATCATCATATACCGTAGTTCTATCCACCACAATCAAGTTCACAAGGATCCCTGTCTGATAGCAACGCCTCTCAGGTCCTTTGAAGGTGGCCAGGGAATCAGCCAGAGGCTTAATGTAAGTGGGTATTCTGCTGGTGGATTTGGGGCT